ATCTGTATCAACCGCTATTTGATCTCACTACAAGAAAATTAGTGTTTAACGACACAAAAATTGCGACAGTTATGTGATAACTGTCGTAATTGACATATAGGGACAGTGTTTACGACAGTTGACACCAACCGTCCCTAATATTTATTTTGCGACGGTATATTTAACCATCATAATATTATTATTACGACGGTAAAACAACCGTCGGCCCCCATTTAACACTTTTAACATTGATTTTTCACCAACAACTAGTCACGACGGTAAAATTAACCGTCCTAAAAGGCATATCACGACGGTAAAGCACCCGTCGCACCCTTAAACCTTTCACGACGGTAAAATTATCCGTCCTAAAATTCATTTCACGACGGTAAAACAACCGTCGCACCCAAAACCTTTAAAAATTCTCATGGGCACGACGGTAAAACACCTGTCGCGGTAAAACAATTTTTTTTTGAGATTTATATAAATTTGATTTTATATCCATCATTAACACATTCAAATATAACATGAAATTAAAATTTAGATTTACAAATTATGAACTCTAAAATATATTATCCAATGTCTAGTACTAAAAAAGATCTTAGAACTAAAAGAAATTAAAAAATTGAAAATTTATGAGTTCATTATTCTTCACTTTTATTTCTTTTCAAGATTAAAAATATTCCACAAAAATGCATTTGCACAAAGTTGAATGAAAAAATATTCTCATTATAATAGAAATGAATTAATTATAATGATTTATAGTGCAAACTCAAACTACATCCTCTGCGTTCTTCTTCACACCGAAAGAAACCCGGAATCTCTTCAAATCGCTCATCAACACACCAAAAAACGCACAGCAATGGAAACTACATCCTCTGCGTTCATCTCTTCAAACACAGTAAGTTTTACGTATCACTTTTTGCATTGTTCTCATCTCTCTCATTCTCTGCCATTGATTTCAGCATTGGAGATTCACTTGAATCTTATGGTTGAGCTCTTTGTGATGATTGATTTTGAGTTTGAATATATTGAATTGATGTTAGGTTTTCTAATTTGTTATTTTAGGGTTTTATTTCTTTTTATGATTTTTTAGGTTTTCTAATTTGTTGTTTTAGGCATAAAACTGATATAAGAGGACCATATACTGATCCAAATGGGATAGTAGTCGTTTTGCAATTGTAATAATAATATTGATATATCAGTCACTCCCCTTGTTAAGTTTCCTGGCTTTAGGACAGTATTTCAAAGGCACTAGGACCAGAATGAGGTTAAGAGGATTCCTAAAGAGGAGATGTTCCGATTCTCTCATCAGGCACCGTTTTTTTATTACGACTTCCCGTTATTAAATGATGTAGAACTGGAATAATAGTACTACTAATAAGAAGAAATATCTATAAGGATCTTTCACGACATTGTTCAGGACTCCATCTAGAGATCGTGCGCTCTTCAACAGCATAGTTTTCCAAATATAACGGAGACCCGTCACTGTGACCATTTTTGTTAACATACAAAACTAATAAGGTTTTTGCAACACTTCCAAGAAGGTGAGAATAAGCCTTGTAGTAAAAAGAGAATGCTTGTTTCTTGGAGTTGAAGCAATGCCACAACTCTTCATCATTCAAGGGACTAGTATCAGCACCACGATTAATCTTGAGGCATTTCAAGGAATAACATAGGTAGAATGCTTCCTCCAAGGTTAATTGAAACCAGTACATGTCTTTTGCAACATTTCTCACAGGTTGACCAAAGTATGCTTTATCAAGCAGGTCAAGTTGTTCAGCTTGCACTGCTATGTGGACAGAACTATCAGAGAGAGATCCACAAGCATTTGATTGAACTAAAGAAGACTGAAGTTGCGATACAATCTTTGACATGGGTTCTTTAAGTGCCTCAGCCTCTGCATCCTTTTTCGATTTTGCATCTTTTCCTTTCCATCTTGGTGCCATTTGACCTGATTGGTTCAACGTTCCACTACCTTGGACGGAGTTTCAAAGATATGCAAAGATGATATTCTACACTTGATATTCTTCGTCAGCTGCAAGTTTTCTTCTCGACTCCCTTTGTCTTCTGTTTTCTGAGTTGCAGGATCATGTCAACATAAATGATTCTTCAACTGTTTTCTGTTTTATTCACGTGTATAAAAAGTTTATAGTTTGATGCATCTTAATATAACATACCTGTCTAGATTTTAACTCCCTTGCAACCCCTGCTGTTATTGCAGAGGTGAAATATTCCGCTGCTTCTTTGGCTGCTCAAAGTCTATTGCTAAGGTGAGAATTTCATTTTCAGTGTTTATAGTTAATGGCTAGTTAACTGTATTATACTCATGCTTGTTTTATGTCATCAAGACTAACTTTGATATATAGTAATAGACACGGCGTGTGAGTCATTATTTGCAATTTTGAAAGAGCATGAAAAACTAGACTTTTTAGTTTAAATAATTTTCCACATACGGCACTTGAGTATCATAATAATTAAGGTCACGTTTGTGGCCTATATAAACTTGCCTCAATTCCCACATTCTACTCACAAAATACTCTCTTCTCATCCTTATTATTAATTGTTTAATTCACTCCCAGAAAAATGTCTCTCATAAAAATATCAGTATTTTCTCTATTTAGTCTGTGCTTGATATCTGCACAGGCAGCGAGATTTGACATCGTTAACCAATGCTCATACACTGTCTGGCCAGCTGCCATCCCCAGCGGCGGCGGTAGGCAGTTAAACTCTGGTAACTCCATCCGTTTCAAATGAATTGTCATGTTAGAAGTCTTAGTTTCAGATTATGTAAGGCTTAGAAAGTCAAGAAAGCATTATTTTTTTACTACTTGATGATGGAGTTCAATTTGTTATTCGATAAACCTACCAATGAGGCTGACAACATACATTAAGTTTGGCATTGCGACTGTCATATGCCTCAAACTCCCAACCATCTATCTATTTATTTAATGTAAATGTAGTTCCAAGAACCATAGAGATCTGAACTGAATTGCAACCATCCATGTCAATATTTGGGACGTAAGGCAGTGAAAAACAAATTGAGACTGTTTGATAATTCAAAACAACTTTTCTATTTTTCAACTACATAATATTGTTTTAGACAAACATGTCTATAGACTTCAATAAATAAACATGTTGTCTATTTATAATTATAAAATTAGTTAGTACTCTCTTCTTATTCTATCAATAAAACTGGACCCAACTGAATATTATTATGATACTACCAAGTTTACCATAATCATTCAGTATCACAGGTATATGGTTTGCACTAGCAAATTGGCTATAGAGATTATGTACTATCAAAATGATTCAAAACTACGGAGTGAAAAGATTCCTTCAAGAATAAATATAGCAGCAGACACAACAAAAGTTGCATAGAGCAACCAGTCAAAATTCAATAGATAAAATCTCAGACAAAATGCAAAAGAAACCAATAGCGTCAATAAAACTACCAAACACTCGAGTCTATTATAAATTCATGCAGAAGAGATTTAAGCAGCAACTGCTTGTTGAGCTGCAGCAGCCCTTTTCCTAGCTTCTTCGATAACGGTTAGCTTAATACCCTTACCCTTGGGAAGAGATACCCATGGCTTAGTACCCTTACCGATAGTAAACACATTGCCCAAACGAGTTGCAAACTCGTGACCAGTAGCATCCTGAAAAGAATTGTAATTAACACCGACACAAGAACTGTAGAGCAGAAATATATCAGGGGACAAATAATCACTACAACTATAGCTGAAACATCTTTTCACCTGTGCAGGATATGCAGGAGGATAGGTTCCGTAAGCAGTGCTTTAATAACCTGTATTTCGAATAGTTCATGCATTATTATTAACAGAGATTGAAAATGTGTTACTGCATGTGCATGTATTTCATCTTAATCTCGAGCATCTATTTTCTAATAAATGGTTATGGTTTTGTAATTTTCTCTCAAGCATATTTATCACTTCATTTAGAGAAGCCAAACTTGGTTGCATGATAATCTGTGTTAAAAAAACTAATTTCAAGTCTAAATACAGGTTTCAATTTATTGTGATTTTCTTGTTTAGTTAATGAACTACTTTACTTCTATTGCCAAAGAAGAACATGTACCTTATAATATTGCTTTGAAGGGTTTAGCTGTCGAATAGCTGTCGAATAGCTGTCAAAAACATAAATGGGAATGTGTAATGTTTGTTATTTGAAATGTAAACTACAGAGTTACTCTGTTAATTGAACTGTAATGATTTAGACAGATTTTTCTTTCTTTGCAAATGTAGGACGGTCGAAACATGAGCTGCACCCCTTCATGCATCTGAAACATGAAGTGTCTTCCGCACTAGAATGAAAATAATAATGTTTTTGTTGGATTTAAAGGGATATGAGCTGTTGAAAAATATAAGATTTCTATTTGATAAATCTATAATTTCTACCAACTATTGATATGCTGCTTTGGTTTTTGTTGCAGGTAACTTTTCTCTTCCACTTGCTTCGCTGCTCTTCAAACCCTCGTGCGTCTTTGAGGTGTGATTTCATTCTTAAATTTGAGTGTGCCTTTACTATATCACTGTTTAATAGTGCTAGACTAAAGAATTTTATCTTATAAGAATTTTATCTTAAATTTGAGTGTGCCTTTACAAATACATTATTCTTATAAGCAATTGTAATAACCAAAATTGCAATGTTTGCAATCGCATTCATACGGGACCGCAAAAGCACTTTAAAATCCTAGTACAAAGCAATATTAAGGTCTCACTCGCACACTGACACAACATAAGTAAATATTCTTGAAGTACTTAGCTAAATGTAGTAAACATATTGATATGAAGTATTTATCCATATATGTCTGTTACATGAAACTGTATTATACTAATTGATATCACAAGGCTTCACCTATAAACTTGTTATGTAGTGTGTAAAAACAAATTAAACAACCAATAATAAAACTCATCTCTTTTATTTTTCTATTGTTTATATTCAAAATAACATGTTCTCGTAAGTACTAGAATTCTGAAAATATAATTATTTTTTTTGAAGAAATGGATAAGTCATGGATTATTAAGCCACAATCATCGATTGCGTATCAAAAAGGAATACAAGAATTTATTGATTTTGCATTCAAAGGTGCAAAAGAAAACGACGTAGTAATATGTCCTTGCAAACGTTGCGGTTTCAGAAAATTAAAGAGTAGGAGTGACATGTTCGACCACTTAAGTTGGTCACCATTTCCGCAGGGATACACCGTGTGGATCCATCACGGAGAGTCTTTTGTACGATCTAGTACTATCTCCCCTAGTACTACTCCAAGTATGGTAGAAGATACTAACATTGTCGAAGAACCTATTCAGAACATGATCAACGATGCATTTGGAGTTTATGGGAATCATGCAAATGAAATACCATCTGCGTCAAATTTGGAGATTGAACAAGAAGATTATGTGATGCCAAGCTCAACTCAGGAAAGAAACGAAGCCAATGAGTATTATGAGTTGGCTAGAGAAGGAGAACAACCTTTATATGAAGGGTGTAGACGATATTCAAGACTATCTTTTTTGGTTAAGTTGTACCATATAAAGTGTTTATGTGGATTGAGTGAGAAGGCAATGACAATGATTTTAGAGTTAATAAAAGATGCATTTGAATATGCAAACATTCCAAGTTCATTCTATGAAGCCAAGAAATCAATCACAAAACTTGGTTTGAATTATGTAAAGATACCCGCATGTCCAAACGGTTGTATGCTTTATTGGGGAGAAGATGAGGAGAGGGAGACTTGCAAAAATTGCAACACTTCAAAATGGAAAACAAATGAGGATGTCTCTGTTAACAAGAAAAAAAAGAAAATTCCTGCCAAGGTTCTTCGTTATTTTCCATTAAAACCTCGATTACAGAGATTATATTTGTCATCAAAAACGGCAGAGGATATGAGATGGCATGCAACAGATACTAACAATGATGGAATGTTGAGGCATCCTAGAGATTCAGAAGCTTGGAAGAAATTTGACTTGACACATACTTGGTTTTCATCAGATCCACGGAATGTGCGTCTTGCATTGGCTAGTGATGGTTTTAATCCTTTTGGTGTGATGAGTACAAACAATAGTATTTGGCCAGTTGTTCTCATACCATATAACACTCCTCCATGGGTTTGCATGAAGCAGACATCATTTATAATGTCAATGATAATTCCCGGTAAAGAGGCACCAGGAAATAATATTGATGTCTACTTACAACCATTAATCAAAGACCTGAAGGAGTTATGGACAAGTGGTGTGGATACATACGATTCTTTCAAGAAAGAGATGTTCAAGTTGCATGCAAATTTGATGTGGACTATTAGTGACTTTCCAGGGTTGGGTTCACTTTCTGGGTGGAACACATACACAGGACTTGCTTGCCCATCGTGTAACTTTCAAACTACACCTCTCCGTCTTAAAGCTAGTCGTAAATGGTGTTTTATGGGTCATCGTCGTTTCCTTGATCGGAGACACAGGTTTAGATTGAACAAGATCCGCTTTAATGGTGAACAAGAAATGCGGAGTCCACCGAGAACATTATCTGGACATGAAGTTTTTGAAAAGGTTAAAGATGTTGAAGTCATCTTTGGTAAAAAGGCAGTGAAAGAAAAATCAGTAAAAAGAACACGTGAGGAACAACCTATAGAAGGTGATAGTACACAATGTGATCCTACAAAAGGTCATCCTCAACAATGGAAAAAGAAAAGCATATTTTTTGAACTTCCATATTGGAAAGATAATCTTCTACGCCATAATCTTGATCCGATGCATATTGAGAAAAATGTGTGCGATAATGTCCTATTTACTCTACTGAATGATAGGCAAAAGAGTAAAGACCATTATAAAGCTCGAGAAGACCTTCAAAATATGGGCATAAGACCTGATCTTTGGCCTGATGAAAATGGTAAAATTTCTCCGGCTGCCTTTAGTTTAACAGGTAAAAATAAAAGGAATTTTTTAATGACTTTAAAGAATATTAGGGTGCCTGATGGTTATTCAAGTAACATTTCTAGATGCATTGACTTAGTAAATCTCAAGGTGAATGGAATGATGAAGAGTCATGATTGTCATATATTAATGGAACAACTTTTACCATTAGCCATTCACACAACATTACCTCATGAGGTTTCAGCAGTATTGATTGAGTTGTGCTCATTCTTTAGACAATTATGTGCCAAGGTATTGAAAATTGAAGACATGGAAAAATTGCAAAACCAAATTGTCCTCACTTTATGCCATATGGAAATGTTATTTCCTCCCTCGTTCTTCACGGTTATGGTCCACTTGGTTGTTCACCTTGTTGAAGAAGTTAAACTTGGAGGTCCTGTTCATTATCGATGGATGTATCCTGTTGAAAGGTAAACTATGTGATTTTGTTCTAATGTTACTAACTTAATTAGAAAGTAGAAAGTTTTTTTAACTAGTGTTATTGTGGTTCAATGATAGGTACTTGGGAAAACTTAAATCGTATGTACGTAATAAGGCAAATCCAGAAGGGTCTATTGCAGAAGGATACCGTTTTGAAGAGATTCTTACATTTTGTTCAAGATATCTAGAAAATATTGAGACTAGATGGAACAACCTGGACGTGTAGATGACGACCCTATTGATGATATCCAAACTGCTTCACGTGTAGCTGAATTATTTCCTAGAGTTGGAAAACCTGTGGGTGGATCTTCTTATTACACCCTAACACCAACTGAAAAATTGCAGGCTCATAGACACGTTTTAACAAACTGTCCAATAGTTGACGACTATCTAAAGTATGTAGTTTTATTACATTTAAGTAGTTTCATCTATACTATTAATATTTTTTTACATCTAATATCGAATAATCAAATAGGCAGTTCCGAAGTTTTACTCAAAACCAAATGAGGCGCAGTCAAAGAAGTGCTACTGTGATAGACAAGAAGGTTCATAAGGAGTTTGTGCATTGGTTCAGCAATCGTGTGAGTTTTCATACAAAAATAGATGTTTTATTGAATTGGTTTTTAATAATAACAAGACTAATTGAATGTTGTATCATGTATAGATTCGCAACAATCTTGACAACATTCATGGGCCAGATAAAGATGTTCTCATTAGTCTTGCTCATGGACCTTTTGATAAAGTTAAAAGATTTACCGCGTTCAATGTCAATGGATTTAAGTTTCGAACGTTGGAACGAGACAATCTTTTAAAAACTCAAAATAGTGGAGTTTTTGGCATGTTTGGGACACGAAGTTATTCAAGCAATAATGATACCCAAATGAGATTTGGAGGGGTCCCTTACTATGGAAGATTAATAGATATTATTGTGCTTTCCTATGATGGCTTCACAGTGCCCATGTTTAAATGTGAATGGGCTAATACCATAAACCCAAGAGGAATTAAGATAGATAAGTTGGGTTTTACCTCTATAAACTTTGCAAGACTACTACATACTAGTGAACATGAAGATAATGAGCCATATATTCAAGCATCTGAAGCTCATATGGTTTTTTATGTAGATGATGAGAGTGAACAAGGATGGAGCATACCTGTTCATTTGAAGCCAAGAGACTTGTATGACATGGGTGGAAATGATGAAATTATGACACCCATTGAGCCATATCCATCACAAAATTTGGAACAAATCTTTTCAAATGATGTTCTTGGAACTTCAGCGACAAATGATGACAATAGTTAACATATAGTTTTTTATTGATAAGAATCTAGTTTGTTTGTAACTTGTGTGAGACTTAATGTATGATATTCCATTGTTACTCTATGTTCTTTGTTGCTTATCCCTAATTAATATGTTAGATGACATTGTTACTCTATGTTTTTAATTTATTGTGTTTATGTTATGTTTATTAAATTTGTATTCACTAATATATAATTTTGATGTTTACTACTTTTAGTGTACTTAATACCTATACTTGCAGTTGAAGCCTTTTGTGAGACAATGACTACACCATATGAGAATAGTCGCCTCAAAAGAATTGCAGAGAATAAGAAAAAGTTAGAGGCTCTCAATCTTCCTACACTCTCTAAATCCCTTCACAAATCATCAGAGTCTTCTTCCAAACCATCACTGGTCAGTCATAAATTCTCTATACTACTCCATACAAATTAATTGTACTTATTATTTACTAATATTCACTAATGTATTTTATTTAGTCTGTGAAGGGCCGTTCAAGGTTTGTACAACCTGGAGAGCTTGAAGTAAATAAGAAGCGCCTACGTTCAATTACAACTCGCAAATCATCAATAACCCCTCCACCAATGGAAACTACAATAACCCCTCCACCAATGGAAACTACAATAACCCCTCCACCAATGGAAACTACAATAACCCCTCCGTCAATCCAAATTGCAAAAGATGTTGTGGTAGAAGATGAGGATGAAGATGACATGGTAGGAGATGAGGCTGATGATGTTGTGGTAGGAGATGGGACTGGAGATGTTGTATTAGGAGATGAGGCTGAAGATGTTGTGGTAGGAGATGAGGCTGAAGATGTTGTGGTAGGAGATGGGACTGGAGATGTTGTGGTAGGAGATGAGGCTGAAGATGTTGTGGTAGGAGATGGGACTGGAGATGTTGTTAAAGTGGCTAAATCTGAGTATTGGGATGTAAATGTCATTAGTAAGTAATTTAAGGTTAAAGTATCTATAAATAATTTAAATTTTTTACATAGTTGAGTTATGAAATTAATTTGTTTACTTTTTTAATGTGATAGACGAGGAAGGTGATGTTTCAAACACACGTTTATGTGTGAAAGACTTGGTTGCGAAATCAGAGCCTGATGGAACATGGATAATACTTGAATTCAATAAGAATAATTGTGCAGTAGGACCGGCTTCTGGTTTGCTAGCAGGATATTTGGGTATAATTATTAGAATGTTTAGAGATATTCCCATAATGTTTGAGAGTTGGAAGAATGTTCCAGCAGATACAAAAACAAAGTTTTATGAATCAAAGATAAAGGTATTATTAATAAACAATTACATATTTTTTAAATTAACTTCATGGTGATTATTATTTCCTTTGTCAACTAATATATTTTTATGTTTAGCGCCATTTTCTTGTGGATGATGGGCGTGACAAAGATTTTGTACTTGCTTCTGCTGCAAGGAAATGGAAGGATGCTCGACATACATTGTTTCACGAATTTTATAGATGGGATCTCCCTTTGGAGGAAAATCTTCAAAATTATCCAAAATGCAGAGGCATTCCTGAAAATGACTGGGCTGTTTATGTTCAATATAGGCGGAAAGAAAAAACACAGGTAACATTAGTGTTTTTATTTGTTAGATTTCTCTGGTTTGTATGTTATCCCTATCTATAATGCATGTTTTTATTTGTTACAAATGTAGAAAATATCCCAAAAAAATTCCCAAAATAGAGCAAAATTGAAGGCTCCGCATACACTCGGATCTAAGTCGCTTGCAAGGAAGAAACATGAGTTGGTATGTCTAAATCTATATGTTGTTGATCGTTTGCTTGATAGTACAAACAATTTATATTAGTTTTTATTTGCAGGAAATGAGAGATGGACGAACATACAGCAGAGGAGAAATGTATGCAGTTTCTCATAAAAAGCCTAACGGGTCATTTATCAATGAAGATGCATACAACAATAATGTAAGTACAAGTTAATTCTTTTGAAATACTGGAAAAAAAAACGGTAATAGTAATAGAACCATCCCAAATAAAACTCACCACTGGAATTTATATATATAATATGGAGAAAGAGCCCGATATATGCTTGGATTCCTAATACAGTTAAATATAGATTACTCAATTCAGATAATACCAGCACAGAAAAATCTTACAATGAGCTAGCAGACAAAAAAGTGGAACCCTCCGCACAAAATGATTATGTTAACAGTGAAGAATATAATACTAGTCATAAAGTGGATGCTGCATTACGTAAAGAAGAAAAAGCTAAAAATAAATTTCGTAAGAAAGTTGGTAAATGGGTGTACGGTGTTTTATTGGTTCTATTTTTAGAAGACAAAATTGATTCAAATTACTAGAGAATTGAATAATAAAGGACCAAGTACTAAGAATAATGGAAAATGATTCCACTTGATGACATTGTATCATTGAACTAAATAAAAGCTTATAACTTATTTATGTTATTAACAATGAGATCATATATCATTGAACTCAAGTGAATACATATCAAAAGAAGAGAAAGGAACGTTTTATCAATAGGAACGTTTCATCCAATATTAACGTTTTGAACTCAAGTTAATATTAGTTTTTCATAAAATAATTAATATTTATTTGAATTTGATAGCAAGCTTTACTGTTATATTATTCTTGTTATATAAACAATAGCTCAATTTTTTCTTTTTCATGTGCAGAAAAAATTACAAGCTGCAATTAAGGATTCTGTGTCTGAAAATGAGGCATTTCAGAAAGTATTTGGAAAAGAAAAGCATGGATATGTTCGTAGTATGGGACTTGGAGTTACACCATCTCAAATTAATAGATCTACGAGATCGACATCTTCTTCTGCAGAAAGTGAACAAATAAAGGAAATGCAAGAAGAAATTAATGCACTTAAAGAAAAGAATTCAAAAATTGATGAATTAACACAGGCAATCATATTCTTAACGCAAAGGGACAAGGCGAGGACAAAGGAAATTGAACTCTTAATGCAAATGCAGAATTTTAGTGGAAGACAGGTATATTATTTTGACGCATTTAAAGTTAAATTTTATGAGTATTATTTTAAAGATTATTATTTTAATACCTTTTTTTAGGGATTGGAATCACCCGCTGATGGTAGACGTTCATCTGAGTCTAGCTACCGTATTGGAGATAATGGAACTTTAGGGGGGACAAATTAGACTTTGCTATGATCGAGATAATTAGATTGTGAACTTTCTCATGTATTTTTGGCATAATGATACTTATTATTATAAGATTAGGAATTGATATATTTTGGGTTTTTTGTACTACTTGACATGATTATGGAACTCGCATTTTACATGATTATGGAACACACATTTTTTTGGATATTATAATGCTTATTTGATGTTAAATATTTTTTATTGAAATTATTTTTACTATATTACAAAGTGATAGAAAATAAAACAAAAAATAATACTATAAATAAATATATTAAAGAAGAAATAATTTAAGGAAAAAAATAACACAAAAAAAAACTATATTTAAAATTTTTTACATAGATAATAATTTAAATAAAAAATATATATAATAGAAAAATAAAAAAAAATCAAGACATAAACAAAAGTCATGGCGACAGTACCGAACCGTCGTAATCAACAATTAAAAATAATCAACAAAAGTCATGGCGACAGTACCGAACCGTCGCCATAAACAATGTAATCAATTTCAAAAGATATTCACGACAGTATCGAACCGTCGCCATCAATAATTAAAAGAAACTCAAAAGATAGTCACGACGGTATCAACCCGTCGTAAAAACTAGAACGACAGTTTTTGTAACCGTCGCGAAATAGGTTGGGGACACACACTTCTACGACGGTAAAGCAACCGTCGTGGAAAGCAAATTGCGACGGTTTTAACCGTCGTAATCTACAAAAATACCTGTCGCAATCTGCCAATTTTCTTGTAGTGTCTTAGTCTCCATATTTACGCCGATCTTGACTTCTTTTTTGTCCACCTCTATGCCAAAGTTTATCATCTCAACTGGCTCTTCATGAGGTTGTATAGCCATTTCTTCCTGTTGTAACAGTCTAGCCAATTCTCCAGGCACCTCACAATCGTCCTCACCTTCGTCTTTGGCTTGGTTGATCGGATTTTCGAAGTCATAACTGGAAATAGAAGGATTGTTATCAATGGGATCCAGAGTGGATATGGGTCTGCAGTTTAATACGTGAGTGTGTGTAAGAGCATAGCTGTATTAATAAAGTAAAGGCAGAAAAGAAAAACAGAGAGCGCAAAATTTGAATGTAAAGAAATGTCCAATGTTTTATTGATGATATATGAAATGACACGTAAAAACCCTCACAGAGAGAGACAATATGCCTCGGGTAAGACAAAACGCCATACAGTTTAAATTGTTTATTACAAATTCAAAACACAAGTAAGACAATTACTGCGGAATAAAAGAAACTGGTATAAAATCCTTAGCCATCCAGTTACTTGGTCCACCGTTGGTAGTCGGGTATATCCAGCTGTTAATATCAGAGTCTTCCTCGCTGTCTTCAATGGCATTAATTCCCTGATTGTTGATGCGTAGGGGAGGTCCTCCAGCTCGAGCACTTTGAACAACCCTTTGAGCTCCTTAAGTAAAGCCCAAACCAAACTTGTCAGTTTTGTGAGTAAAATCATGGAGTTGTCCCCAGTTGGTATACCCACCTCCTTCAACCACTGCTCTGGCGTCTTTGAGAGAAGCCATCTTCAGAGGAGGTTTGGTGTCAGTAGTAGTCTCATTTGACGCCAAAATCTGGGGAACTTCTTCAAAGTTTTGACAAGGAGTTTCTATGAATTCCCCGTCCATCTCCATATACCTGAAGGAGTTCAGGTGGCTCATCATATACTCCTCTTCGCCATGCACAGTGACAATCTTCCCCTTCACCGGATACTTCAGCATTTGGTGCAGTGTAGAAGTAACAGCCCCAGCTTCATGGATCCAAGCACGACCCAACAAACAAGAGTATGACGTCCTGATGTCCATCACAAATAAGGTGGATTCAAAGGTCTGG